CTATTATGTTATACAGTGGTTACGGTTGCGGATCAGCACGTTTACTGCGCTGATCTTAAAAGGGAGGTTTTGGGAGTTTTTAATTGTGTTTCAGCGCTGAAGTGCAATTAAAAACGGCGCTAACGAGCGCGGTTCAATTGAAAACGTTATGGAAACCGCTGCAAAAATAGGGAGCAGAATGGGCAGGAGGCGGTTCAGATCGTGCGAAAAAGTACTTGGTGGGGACCCTGGCCATCCACACCCTTACATGAGTACTGGCCGTACCCCTCTGATGGCAGCCCTGGCTTCCTGCTGCTGTATCTGGGAGACACCTCCTGGTGCTATCAGCCAGGAGGATTACAGCACTGTGCCCAGGCTGTGATGGCGCGGAGAAGCGCCGCCTTCAGGTCATGTGGGGAACTGCAGAACACATTCAGCTGCACCAGAACTGCAGGAGGGAGCTCAGGACATTGAGCTGCCTTGCGATAGCGATCTACCAGCATTAGCTTTGCGATCTACTGGTAGATTGCGATTGACCTAATGGGCACCCCTGAGGCCAGGTTAGACATCCATGTATACACAAAGCATTACAATAGTAGCACAAACTTCTGCCCTGTTGCCAATATTGATCACAGTAATGACACAGGGTACACAAGGTATTTTTGTTTGCATTTTCTTCTGTTTAATTTTTTTTCAAAGCCAAAACTTTTTTTTGTTTTAGGTAGATTAGGGAAGGGTTAAAAACCACTTATCAGGTTGTTTTTCCCTGCCGGTTTCCCCACTGGTGGCAGAAAGAAATCTCTCCAAAGTGAATTGAATTCTCATCTCTGTCTGTGACTCTGGGGACAAGGCGAGTCCCCAGAGTCACAGAGAGAAATAAAAACTTCACAAAGGGTCAAACCCTTCCCTACTCTATCTAAAACGAAAAATGTTTCCTTTACATACACTTTACCAGGTCAGAGTTTTAGTCTGCCCATCAAGTTGTAGTTGATTATCAGTTCTGGGACCTAACTCTTCTCATTCTTTAACTAATGCCAGTAACTAAAGAGGTGGAGCAGCTCAGGGTACAGAGAGGCACCATAATCTTAGGGTCAATTGTTGGGACTGCTGTACCCTTGTGTCTGTGAACCTGGGTCTTGTTGTTTTTGCTGGTCATGATATGGACTACCAATGTCTTGAATTGGTAAATGCTTCTGTTAAAATTGATTACACAAGCAATTCAGAAG